GAGTGATTTGTTTTAATGTGTTTGTAAATAGGATATCATGTCCGTATCTTGTACAGCAATTAACCACTAAGAAGAATGTATGCAATGTGTTAATTTTTAAAACTGTCCTACCAATTTGGTTTGAAAGTGTCTCATTGCTATTTGTTTATCAATAAAATTATTGGAAAAAAAAAAGAACAGAAGGAAAAAATGGAAAAAAAGCTTGTGTAAATGGTGAGGGCATGAAGGGTTGAAGGGAGGGGAATGGGAAAACAGGATTAAGATATATGATGCATAGGTGCAGATTCCATATGATGAATGTTAGATCAATATGTATGGCAAATAGGTACTAGTAAAAATAAAGTTTAAAAATTAAAAAAAAGATTTTGATGGGCCAGGATGGATGTGAGGGTGGACTGTGAATTACGGATTCAAGAGGCAGGATCAATAGAGGTGAACAGAGAATGTGGTTATGAGTGAGCACTGAAGCTGAAGCGGTGATTTTTCTGGGCCACTGAAGCCTAACCTTGCTTCTAGTTTCAGGGCCAATGCAAGGGATGATATACAAGGCTCGAAGTGGACTGTTTTCTCCAGGAGTAGCTTCTTTAGAGAGTGAGAATTATTTGCATTAAGCCTTCCTCCTCTAACAATGTGGTCTTATCTACAGTTTTTTTTTTGTTTTGTTTTTTTTACAACCTGGCACTTTATTTTATTTTATTTTATTTTTTACAATCTGGCACTTTATTTTTTTTTGACATCAGTTATTTTTATTTTAAAGAAAAAAAATAAAAACAATGTTACAAAATCTCAAAACAAGATTTTAGGAGAGTAACAATGGTTACTGCCAAAGTAGTTTCTCATATTACAAGATATGGGCAAGAAATAATAAATAAACAACATAGGTACAAACCTCTTTTTTTTTTTTTTAAGTCAACAGAAAATGGAAATATACTTTTTAAAGTTTCTAATACTAGGAGAAGATATCATACAATGTCTTTTAAATAAACTGTAAGTCAAAGATACAGTATAAATCTTAGAACAAAAATTAAGATTAAGCAATATTCAGAAAATTAAATGTTTCCAAACAATTGAACTAAGAAAAAGTTTTCATAACAAAGAAGTACTAAGAGTAAAACATAAGATAAATACTGGAATGGCAAGTAAATGACCAGCACTTCTAACAGTTTGAGGATAGGATATCGCACAAAGTTCTAGTGTGTTGTGGACATACACAATGACCGTGACAGTTACTGGTGGCTAGGCGTCACTTGTGGAACTGAGCTATAGCTATTTCTTTGAGATCCACCCTTATCTACAGTTTTGCATGATAGTGCATATTAAATAAAAGATCCTGGCTCCCTTTTAGCTGGATTTTAGCCCGGCTCTCTTTGCTTTTATTTTATTATTTATTTATTTATTTTGTCAGAACCAGGGATTGAACTCAGTCCCTTGCACTTGCCAGGGAAGCGCTTAATCCACTGAGCCATCTCCCAGGCCTCTCTTTCCTTTTAAACCCAAATCAAATCGAAGACATTACTCATGATTTTCTAACTTTTCTTTAGATTGTTTGGTTCTGTTGTTGATAAATAATAATCTTCCTAAAATCATTTTCCGGAAAAGTTGGAGGCTTTTTTCTTGGTAGAAAAAAGCAACCTTCCTTAGCCGATCTTTGAGCTTGCCGATGGGCATCTCAGACCTGAGAAGTCCTTGCCTGTTGAGGGGGCCTCATCACTGCCTGCCTGCTTGCTTCTCCTCAACACTCTTCAATCGGACTAGGAGCTCAGCGATGAGCAATTCTTGTTAGAAGGGCCCCTCCTCTCGTGCCTCAACGCTTTGGAATCTTGAGCGACATTTCCTCAGAATTTATAAAGCATCTCCCAAGAAATAAAATTAGAATAGGCAAAACCAACACTTTTCCAGCTTTCAAGAGTCAGGTGCAGCCGCAAACATAAGCAGAGATTGTCTCGATTTCTAGCGAGCAGTTGGAGGGACCTTCCAGCCATGAGGCCCCTGAAGGGAGGGAGATGGTTTCCAGGGCAACCGGGCGGGGAGCCGTCTGCAGAGCGGGCTGGTTCCTCCGCCTCCTGGTAGCCCAGGGTACCGCGGGACAGCGTCCTCCAGTGCTCCGCGCTCCGATTGGCTGCACAGGCCGTTCGCTGATTGGCTGCTGCGGGAACCTCGCGGGCCGGTGGCTATGGAGCCCGTGGTGGTTGATGGTTGACCGTTGGCTCAGGGATAGGGGTCGTGACTCCAGGGATCCGCTCACACCCGACCGGACGGCCCGTGCACTGCTGATGCTTGGCCTGGAACCCGCTGGGGAGACCTAATTCCGCTCAGCCATGCCGGCCGGGAGTAACGAACCGGACGGCGTCCTCAGCTATCAGGTAGGGCCCCGCCTCCCGCCCCTCCCCGGGGCTCAGCCTTCCCATCCTCTGCCCACCCTCCCTCCTGCCCCGGAGCCGGGACTTTAGGCCGCTCCCCGAGGGCAAGGGGAGTTGGCCCAGGACGCCAGGGGGCGCTCGGGGCGGCCGGAGCGGTGACCTTGGGCCGCGCCAGGGAGCAGGCGGTCCCGCAGCATCCCAGGCGCCCGCCTGTGAGCACCCAGGATGGCTGCCCGGCGGTGACCTCTGTTCTCCTCAGGTCTTGCCCGGTGGGAGAGGCCGGCTCTGGCTTCGTCATTGTCCCGCCGGAAGGTGGGCGAAAGGGTTGCCAGGGACCTTGCTCTGGTCTTTGTGTTTTTGTCTCTGGGGGCTTTGTGTTCATTAGTGGCTCAGAGGAAGAGCTTGAAAGACTGGAGGCAGTGAAAAGCCCTCCTTAGCGTGGCCAGCTTTGTGACTCCTGCCCACTGCACAGATATTTGATAAGTGGTGTGCACATAGGTGGTGGGACAGTATTGATGGGTCAGAAACAGGTGCTTGTTTAAGGGAGTGAGAAAACCAGGGTTTAATAATTGGCAATAGAACTCTTGAAGTAGCCAGTGAAAGGAAGCACTGGACTAGGTGTTAGAATCTGTAGGTTCAAATCCCACATGTGTGTCACACAGATTTTGTAACCTTGTGTAAGTCACTTGCCTCTTCTAACCGCAACTTCCTCGGTTATTGAAAGAGAAATAGTTAATAATATATTTCATTTAACCCAATATAATCTAATGTGTGATTTCAATAGGTAGTCAATTCAAAAAATTGTTTTTCAGTTGTTTTCATTCTGTCCTTCCGAATACATTTTCAGAGACCTGTGTATAGATTCTCTATGATGAGTGCAATCAAGATGTATGTCTAAAATGTACCAATAAAATCTGATTAGAAAAGAAAAAAAAAAGAAGAAAGAGAAATAGTGCTATTTGCTTTGTTTACTTGGCAGGCTTACTTTGAGGAACAGATGGGGTGCTATTAGTGAAAGGCCTTAGGAAGTGTTTATTGTGTGATAGCCATTGGGTGAGTGCTGGCTCTTTGAACTCTCACGTTGCCTTGCAATCATATTGTGTGATTACTACCCTGGAAAGAGAGCTTGAAGGTGGGAGGGCAGTCAAGACGAGTGGATGACTCTGAAGAGGAGGGTGGACTATCTTGGGAAGAATGGCAGATCTTGGAGGCAAGTGCCATGTTGACGTCAGCGTTGTTTCTGGAAGGGGGCAGGGAGAATGTCCTGAGTTTGAAGCAAAATGAGTATCATGCACGGACTCCCTCCCCTTCTTCCTAGTAATAATTTGTTACTAAGAAGATCTGTAATTTCTTTTCTGCTTTCTCAGGTGAAAAGGAACAAAACAGGGTGTTGTGGGGCAGGCCAGTAATCCCAGCTGAGGCAGGAGGATTTCAAGTTCAAGTTTTGCCTGGGCTGTTTATCAAGACCCTGTCTCAAAAAATAAAAGGGCTGGAGATGTAGCTTGGTGTGATGGCTCTGGATTCGATCTCCAGGAGTGGGGTGGGGGTGTGTGAGGACCAGTGTCTTAAGATTTTGGGAAATCTCTCCACATCTAAGCTTCTTAAGGCCCACTATGTGTTTTAACCTCTGCAGTACAGTAAAGGGCAAGAACAGGCAAGTTCTTGCCTTTCTGAAGCTTGTCATCTAGCAATAGGGGAGAAGTAACTACTTTTCATCAAGTAATCACACAGATAAATACATTATTATGAACTGTGATAAGAGTTTCAAAATAAATTTAGCTGTTACGAGTGTGAAATTTCAGATCAGAGAAGATTTTGCTGGGAAGAAAGTTTGGACAAAGAGCTAAAGAATGAGTAAATATAAAGTAAGGGAAAAAGGAAATTATGGACACAAAGAGGACAACATATACAAAAGTCTTGTGGCAGAAAGGGACACATTCTGAGAAAAATCCAGGGTGATAGAGCCACAGGGTTGTGAGGAGAGTTTGATGGATATCCTGTGGGGATGTAACATGCCAGGCCATCGAAGCCCCATTGGAGAAGTTGGTATTTATCTGAGAAATGAGGGGGTAGGTACCACTAGAGAGCGTTAAGCAAGGTGAGGAGGGTGAGGCAGGTGAGAGAGGGGTCTCTAGAGACAGTGGCATGAGCAGATTTTTCTATTGAAAGATTTCTGTGGCAGCAGTGAGAATAGGCTGGAATGAATGTGAGACAGGGACCCTACTAGGCAGAATGTGTGCAGATTGTGTCATTGAGAGTACAATAGCCCTCAGGTTTCTGCTAGTTTTCTGTGAGACCGGTGATCCCTGAGTGCTTCTGGTTTAGGATGGAAAATAACTATCTCCTTTATATCCTGCTTGTGAAACTTTCACAGGTGGTGAAATCCAGTGGGAAGAGCAGGACCTCATGAAGGTTGCAGGCAGGCAGGAGTATGTGGAGGAGAAAGGAATGAAGGTAAAAGGAGGTAAAGAGATGAGGTGACACAGTCCAGCCAAGTGCCAGTTGCAGTTAAGCCTCCCGTGTGCCAGGGAGGATGTATACGGGGGAGACAGACCTTGCAAAGTGAGTAAATTGTGTGACTTGATATAGACACGTTCCAGACATCGCTTCTGTGGATCGTACGTCTGTGCTGTCTCTGGTGTGGACACTGCTCGAGCCTTCCAGCAGTACCCTCTGCTTGTTTTCTTGTAGCTACAGTCCACATGGAAATAGAGCAGATCCCATCGTGCCCTATTTGGGATCCCTTCAGTGCCTTCCTAGTGCATTTCAGAAGAAAGTCCAAGTTCTTTGACCTGGGCTACCAAGCTTTAACACAAGCAGGACCTGCCCACACTCGAGACTGCCTCTTGTCTGTTTTTTCACCTTGAACCCCTGCTCTGGCTTGCTGTCTTTTTTTTTTTTTTTTTTCTTGTGCTGGAGATTGAATCCAGAGCCTCATATATGCTAGGCCAACTCTCTATCACTGAGCTGCACTCCAGGCCTTTTTTTAAAATTTTGAGACAGGGTCTTTGAGATAGGTTGGCTTCTAACTCATAGTCTTCCTATCCCAGCCTGCTGAGTAGCTGGGCTTGTAGGTCTATCACAAACTCTGGCTTCCATTGTTTCTTCAGTATGGTGAGTTCTTCATAGCTCAGGCACTTTGAGTTTG